TTTTCAGCCGATCGCAGAAAGTAATTGAAAACAGTCATCATTCATCGGGACAGAATTGATTCCATTTGCCTGGTAAGCACCAGGAGCCGTCGACACCTGTTCCTGAAACCGGCGTGCTAATCGCCCCGTGGACTCCGTAGAAAAACGTGAAAACGCTTGCCTCGGGGGACACCTTGGCGGTCCAACACACAAGTTCTGTCAAGGCGTGGAAAATGTGACAGCTACGCCTGCGCATCACGCTGCCTTTGCCGATTACCATGTTTACTCATTAGGCGTTGAATTGCTTCGACTGTAAAATCACGTTCCGATTTTGGAAGCTAACGGGTTCCTAGACGGGCTGCCCTCGAAAGATGCATCCAGCATGGTGTGATTTCGTTCTGACACTCAGCAATACGTTGAGAGAAAATGATGACGTTCGTTTCAAGAGGACATCGAGTCAGCGGACGAAGTTAGAAAGCATGTGGGTTAGGAAACAGGTGATGGTCGATGGCTACCATGGTTGCAAGTTTGGACTGGTGAAAAATTGCAAGAGTACCGAGCATTATGAGAGAATTGCGCCTGACAAATACGATGAACCGTTCGAAATGCAAGTACTCCCTACCCTTGGTATTTATCACTCATCAGAAATTGAAATCCTATGACTTCCGGTAGAATTGGAAAGCTACGAGTTGATAGTTGCGTCGCAACACCAGGGTTATGTTTGCCTCCTACCTAAGTCATTACTACTATTTGCTATTTCGCGATCGAATGCCATCCTTCTTCCGGATGAATCAGACGTCAATATAGATTTTTGGGCAACACCTGTTCACTAAATTTTCAGCATCATGACCATCTAAACGGTGCGAGGCAAATCAACTTACCCTTCAGACTCGCTGTCTTCAAGAATTTTTCGATTCTTCCCTTCGTCTTGGGTATGACCCGTGTATTCCGCTGAGGAAGTAGACGGTGCAATGAAAAAATTTCACGGTATTTTCTTTGAGGATAAGTGTACGATTGTCCTCAAATTCTTTTGTACCTTGTAGCATTGTTTTTACCCCAGATGCATTTTTTATGAGCGTAAGGAGTTCTGTCAATCACAGTAAGCACTGTCTCGCAAAAGTATGCTATTCCTGACTAACGGGATAGAAACGGAGATCAGCGCTGCCCCCGCACCATAACCTTCATGCAACAAGAGCACCATCATTGTCCATAATCATGGAAGTGATGCCGACATTCCAACCTTCCTTTCTTCCTTTGCTGTCTTATTAACGGACGTTGCAGAATTGCTTAAGGTCTTCATAGGTGATAGACACCATTCCAAAAGTAGACGTTATGCTAGAAGAGGGGTCATTCTTCTAGCCACAAAGGTGAGCCTCATTTTGGTGCAAATATGAGGATGTTACAACGACAACAAAATTGTTTAGTTATGACTAATGAATAATTTTGAAAAGGATAGCGAGTCCAAAATCTGTTCCTTTACGCCAGTGGCACGGATCGGCATGCAAATGTTGCATACCAGAAGGAGGTGTAGCGCTGATCATTCTTCATGGCTGCTATGTCAGCGTGCTGACTTAAGTTCAAACGACAGGCCGAGGTCGTCCAGTTTCGCTATGGCATCGCTATAAACGATTGCCAAAAAAAAAACATATCGGCCTTAAAAGCCAGGTGCGACACCGACCTAACCAGAGGTATTTTTCTCCAGGTCATGGTCTGACAACAAACGGCGGTGTCCGTCGCCGATGAGTTCATAATAATGTCCTCATTTAGTACGCTGAGGCACGGCAAACGTCGATCAGGAGGCCAATATGCAAAGTGGGTGAACAATGTCGAGGTAAATTCGCTTCTGCAAACGAACTGTATTAAGTGGTGCCTTATGACAAGAATATTGAAAAGCTATGAATACAGCCAACGTCACAAACCAGACATGTTCTGCTTCTGTTAAGGGCGTAGGGAAATGAATTCTACCAACACACACGTCATGTTATTTAGCATAAACAATATTCCTGAATCTTCTGTTACGTGACCTCAAAATCGTGTGACGCAATATCTGGCAACGGCAAAGGAAATTCACGCCATACAGTCACAGTCACATTCTATAACTAATTCCCTTCATAAGGAAAATCATGATGTATGATGAAAATTTTGGCCATATTCTCTTCGTGGCTTAATACAAGTGATGGACCCCCAATCTTTGGCTCTGCTATTTAGCTAGAATGCTTTCCTCTTAGAAAACTTTGCCATAAAAATATGAGAAGCCCCGTCATCTGTCTGTCCATTGCCACTGCTTCCTTGGCCAACCGCTTACGGTAGGCCGACGTTTTCACCGAGGTCACCGTTCCATTAGTTGTGAGAAAAAAAACATTCCATACATTCCATGTCACACAGTACTCTGGCGTGCAGTTTCCTATTCTGATTGCTGACCACTCACCAAAAAGTGCATCGCCTGCTGTTGGCAGAATCATTTTTCCTTTACTGCCAACCCTACCCACCGTCCCTTATCGCATTTCTGAGAAATATCGTATAAACATATACACAATCGTGATCCAATTGTGATGACGGTTTGGTCCAAGGGTGTCTCGACAGGGGCAGCCGATGGCAACCGCAGAGTATTTGGAATTCGATAAAATTAGCGTGAGATCTCAGCGTGAGTCATCAACAGCCTTTTCTTCAGCGGAAGACGTGGCTTTAAGTAGTGCCACTGCCATTTAGCTCTCTTCTTCGAGCTCACTGAGGCTGCACTGCTGGACAGGACAAACAGACGTCGTTAATCCACTGACGCTGAAGACCCGTCTCGCTGCTGGATCGAATTTCTTTTTCTCTAGACGGAACGGGCCTGAGGACGAGTAGCGCGAATCCTAGGCTTCTCTTTCGTCATTTGCTTTAAAGGCAACCAACGACGTGACAAAGGTAATGAGTCCAGCGAGTGACAATGAGTGACAGTAAACCAAAGAAAGGAGTCAAAACTGACAGTTGAATTGGCTCATCGACGCAGTATAAGGGTGCAAACGAAATTTGGCATTCAGGATTGCGGTCATTTTCACTCCTCACAGACACCTTGAAGAGTGATATAAAGCTTTAAATTTGCTGAGACAGCTTGGTGCTATCTGGTTAAGGTGACAACGTTCAGAAGAAGTCTTACTTGCAGAACAGTGACCTCAAACCGCAACCATGTTTCGAACACACATGGTAGTTCAAAATACGAAACTTCTGAAACTCCACATTAAGGCAGAACCTCATAACCTTTGTCACAGCAAAGAGCATTGCCA